CCGATGCCCTGGCCATCTTCGACAACAGGCTTACACGCATCTGGGTGCGACGGAGGACAGGGTGGGAGTGCCTCGTGACCCGTTTCCTGGGGGCGGAGTCTGTGCCGCGCTCATGGTGCAGGAGCTGACGCCATCACCGTGCGTCTCGTCATCCCAGTTACCGGCGTGCTGGTAACAGAGGTGTCAATATGGGAGTTGGCAGGTTGGACTCTTGGTCGATTGCTTGGGCTGTGTATGAGTCGCCTGTTGGGAGGCACATGGCCATACGGAGCAATGTGCCCGCTGGTGATCTTATGGAGAATTTGGCAAGGTCAAGAACTTAGGAAAGCTGTCAGCGAGGTTTTCCATTGAAACCTACCTAGGTAGGTAGCATTGGGCCTGCAAGTCCCTGAGTCCTTGGCTTCAGAAAGGTAGAGAGAGATTCCGAAGGTACGCGAAGCCTGGATCTGGGCGTCAAGTCAGCGACGGAGAATGACGAACGATGTGAAGAGGGTTCGAATGAGGATACCTTTGGGTGACAAGAATGACAACAAAGGCCCTTGTTCCACAGAATCACCATTTGGAAACAACACGGACAGTTGGCTTCGCGATGCTGAACAAAGGACAAGACACAATGCACAGAGTGGAGGAGACGGTTGGGGAAGTTGAGCTTATCGAGTGCTGATGCGGGCTGATAAGATAACCGAAAAGCGACGGGTCCAGTTGACATGGGGCCAGATAGTAAATCATCGATATGGGGATTCGCTGGTTGGTTCGCGTGTCTGGGAGGGCCATGAATTGTTTCTTACAAGGACTTGTAACTCGTGGCGCCATTGAGTCTATAAAAGTCTGTCGGGATGGGCACGATGCGAATTCGCAGTTGAAGCCAGAGGTTGATGAAATGAGAGATGAAGTCCTGGCCCAATGCTGCGATAAGGGAAAGCACCTGCATTGTTGCAGCGACTGAGTCGCTATTGAGGGGCTCGTCCCGCGCTGGAGCCGTTCTATTGTCCATCAAATTGTGATGGCAGTACCTGCAGCTGGGCCAATTCTACGCTTCTTCTCAGGTCCTGACAATAGTGAATTGACCTTTCATGTGCTACGTGGCTAATACTCGGCTACTGATGACATGTACCGCGGCAGCGCCCCGCCGTACCAGACGCGTCGGCCAGCTTTTCTGCCCCTCACCGCCCCTCTGCTAGCAAGGAGCCAGCTCAGCTCCCAAGCCGGATCCAGCACTCGATGCCTCGGAAGCGCAGCTCGACATTGGACAGGCCACGCATCGCCAGCAGATCCCGCCCAGGCCAGCCCCTTGCTCTTCGACTCGACAGCTGTGTGTGCGAATCCAGACGCGGGCTCGCACACAAACAGCAAACAGACCGACGAAACCGCTGGCCCACCGCCTTGCTCCACCGCCCAGGGCCACAGGGAATCTGGCCAGAATTCGCTCCCCAGCCCGCGCTGCCTTTTATTGCAACTCTGTCACCAACATCCCTCGATTCTTGACCTCTACCGCCAATTGACCGTTGGCAGTGCCGTCAAGATGTCCAAGCCCACGAGCGTCACGGGCAGTGAGAGCGAGTTCGAGTTCATCGAGACTCCCAAGGCCACCCCCCCGACCTTTGAGAAGGACGAGGACTGCGGCGTCCGCACCACCAAGGTACGTCGAGCAAATGCACCCCGCGGATAGGTTTTATCTATCCAGCTAGTCATTCTGAGGCCCCCCAACGGGCAATTGGCATTCCCAATGCTGCATGTTGCTTTCACTGCGTCCCGGAAGACTGCAGACTGCCCCATTGACGAGCTCAAAGCAAGCAAGCAAGCAAGCAAGCAACGGCGAGCTGACTGATTTCGTCTAGTATCCTTGCATCAAGAATGCTCCCCTCCCAGCTGAGGGGCCGGGCTCCGACTCGTTCAACAACAAGATCCTGCTCTCCCTCTTGGGCGGCGTGCCTCTCTGGCTGACCTGGAAGGTTGGCGGCGGCCTCAAGACCTTCATCTTCTTCGCCCTCATCGTCGATCTGCCCCTCCTGGCAGGATGGTGGCTCGTCGTCTCTGCCGTCTCCCCCCGCAAGTCGGACAAGGCCAAGCTGCCTGGCCGTCCCGTTGAGTACTACCTCGATTTCAAGAAGGAGGCCGACCGCCTCAAGTACCGTGGCACCAACAAGATCCCCATGGAGACCTTCCACGAGATGTACTTTGACGGCGATGTCGAGTTCAAGGGTGACTGCCTCGAGGTTATGGAGTACCGTCACGACTGGGCCAGCTTCCGCTTCACCGTCAGCCTCATCAAGTACTTCTTGACCGGCATGATTCCCGAGCTCATTATGCACACTCGTTCTCAGGGTGAGTTTCCCGGCTGATAGCCGCCAACTTTGTCTATTTGGACCATATCAAGAACCCATTTGCTGACATCATTCTTCCACGTAGATGAGGAGCAGGTCCGAGACCACTATGACCGCGGTGACGACTTTTACGGCTGGTTCCTTGGCCCCCGCATGATCTACACCTCTGGTATCATCTCTGACATCAACACCGAGGAGTCTCTGGAGCAGCTCCAGGACAACAAGTTGACTGTTGTCTGCGAGAAGATTGAGCTCAAGAAGGACGAGCGCATGCTGGACATTGGCTGCGGCTGGGGCACCCTCGCTCGATTCGCCAGTGAAAACTACGGCGCCAAGGTCACCGGTATCACTCTTGGTCGCAACCAGACTGCCTGGGGCAACAGCGCCATGCGCAAGGTTGGCATCCCCGAGGAGCAGAGCAAGATCCTCTGCATGGACTACCGTGACATTCCCGTCCCCGAGGGCCGCTACAACAAGATCACCTGCCTGGAGATGGCTGAGCACGTCGGTGTCCGCCACTTCCCGGCCTTCCTCAACCAGGTTTACAACATGCTTGACGACGATGGTATCTTCTTCCTCCAGATCGCTGGTCTGCGCAAGGCTTGGCAGTACGAGGATCTGATCTGGGGTCTCTTCATGAACAAATACGTCTTCCCTGGTGCCGATGCCTCGACTCCTCTTGGCTGGGTGGTTGACAAGCTGGAGGGTGCTGGCTTCGAGGTCAAGGGCGTTGACACCATTGGCGTCCACTACTCTGCTACTCTTTGGAAGTGGTACCGCAACTGGATGGGCAACCGTGACAAGGTTGAGGCCAAGTACGGCAAGCGATGGTTCAAGGTACGTTTACCGATATCCGATCGATCCGATATTCAAAGGCTTTTCATTGCAGATACTAATATTAGCGGTCTATAGATCTGGGAGTACTTCTTGGCCTACTCCACTATTGCTTCTCGACAGGGTACCGCTACCTGCTTCCAGATTGTGCTGGTGAAGAACCTCAACTCCACTCACCGTGTCGAGGGCATCCCCAGCCAATTTGGTCTGTCTGGAGCTTATGACAACTCCGAGGCCGACATCAAGTCGTGGGCCGCCAAGAACAACGTCGCTTCCTCCACCGCCTTCCTTTCTTAAGTGGGGTGGCAACGACGAATTGTCTCTGTATAGACTGAACTTCAACTGCTTGCTATCTCTTGTTTGGACAGATGCATTGAAAGACGTCACGGGCAAAACCACGGGCAAAACTAAAAAAGGTGTCATGAAGCCCTTTTTACATGGTGTCAAGGAAAACATGGTACAGGATGAAGAACTGTCTGCTACTATATGGATCGGTTCAGTGGCACGGGTTGTCAACATGACGGTCATGACTTTACTCATTAATGTCTGAATGGTTATGAGGCAAACGGATATGGTTCTAGGTATGGTAGGGTAATCAAGGGTATTAAAAGGTTGCAACCTCGTCTCACGATGGGGGTGATTCACCAGCAATAACAGTGAGGCCCTTGATGGGACATCACTAGCGCTGAGTCTGGGCTAGATGACGCGTTATGAGAAATAGAAAGCTGTTGGCCCTATCACTTGGTTTGCTCTCTCAGGAAGTGTTGCCCCAAACTCCATGATGAGGTAGCAGCTCATGTGTTGCCTAACATGGCTGCTCACACGCGAGGAGAAATGTCTGGTCTGGACCCTTAATCTTACACGAAGAGCCCATAACGCGGTTTTGCACTAGATGTTTGTAAGCTGCATGATGCTATGCTTTAACATGACCCCAACGCGTCAACTAATCTTACCACAAGGTTTCTTACGAACTCTGTATGAGAAAGGAAGAGCTACCATCCTACCAAATAAGGGCTAAGGTGCCCTGGCTGTATGAGCTTAGCAACGCGATATAGATACAATATGTGACACTATCTAGTTATTTGTTAACAAGGTTCAATCGACATGTCCTCCGTCAACGACTGAGAACTCGGAGCTTGTCATACCTTCAGGATCCTGCACTATACAGTTCAGTGCTAAGGTTCCCAGCTCCGAGATGTAAGCCGCCCCCTGTAGCCGGCGAGCCGGCACTACCTAGCGTTGGCCATGAAGACTAATTGATATATAATATGTCGATGGTGAGCTATTCGATCGGGCTTACTTGAGGGAGCTCTCATTGGCAATGACCGAACGACCGCATGTCCGCACACGCGTTTACTGTAGTATGTGTATTGCCGAGAACTGTTCCCCCGTCCGAACCTTGTCGGCGCTTTCGATCTGACCGTAGCCCCGTTTCCCCGGCCTGTCCATTGTTATAGCTTGCCCCGGAGCGCCACCCGCTAGAGTTCCTTACGAGGCGCTGAGCTGTGGAAGGACGAGAATTGGGGTAAGTAGAGAGGTTCTTGTATGATCTTATATATGGCGTGCTTATGTGATGTAAGATCTATCGCTAGTTTACTGCGCGGAGGGAGCTGGAGATTCAGTTGGGGGTAAAGGGAGGAGGAGCTGTGGCTTGTTTGAAAAAGCATGTTTGTTACTATTATTGTAGGTAGGTGGTTTTGCTGTGAGCATAGTGCTATATATGTTTCGCGATTGCGAGTGGTTGTGCTACTCTTTGACTTGACGTTTAATAGTCTTATGAATTGAGGGTTTATTAATTGTACGATATTGAAGCTCGATACAGCCTGACTTACATACGCAGATATGAGACGACCTATCACGCCAGAGCAAGTCAAGGAGCTTGCTTCCATATTGGACTCGTCTACACGATTGTACACTTCCGCCGATGGCGAGGGATACGACAAGTTGATTGCGAGGTGGGCTGACAACGCAGTCAAACAAGCTGTAAGTGGCCATTGCGTTAAAGTCCATGAACAGAACTGACAGAGAACTCGTCACCATCATAGGGCGTCGTCGCTGTCCCGGTGACCTACGAAGAAGTAGCCAAGCTGGTCAAGTTCGCCTCGGACAACAACATCGATCTCGCCGTGCGAGGCGGCGGCCACTCCACCGGCGGAACCTCCTCGACAGAAGGCGGCCTCTGCATCGACCTCTCGAGCATGCGCGACGTCAAGATCGACACGGCCTCGAAGCACATCATCGCCCAGGGCGGCGCCATGTGGGTGGACGTGGACAACGCGGCCATCGAAAAGGGCCTCGCGACGGTCGGCGGGACGGTGAACCACACGGGCATCGGCGGGCTGTCCCTCGGCGGCGGCTTCGGGTGGCTGGCCGGCATGTACGGCTGCGTGTGCGACAACATTGTCGCTGCCAAGGTTGTCGTTGCGGACGGACGCCTGCTGTCTGTCTCGGAGAAAGAGAATGCGGACTTGTTCTGGGCGATTCGCGGCGCGGGACATAACTTTGGGGTTGTGGTTGAGTTTACCTTCCAGGGGCATGATCAGCTGAACGAGGTGTATGCGGGGGGCATCGTCTTCCCGTCGGACAAGTTGAGTCAGATTGTCGAGGCGCTCAACAGGATGATGGGATCTGGGGATCCAAAGGGGGCTGCTGTGCTGGTGTTTGCGAGGCCGCCTACGGCGCCTGCTCCGGTGATTGTTACGAATGTGTTTTATAACGGGGACCAGGAGGCGGCGGAGAAGTATCTCAAGCCGTTGTTGGACTTGGGGCCGATTGCGAACATGGCCAAGATGATGCCGTATAACATGGTTAACGGGTTGTTGAATGCCATGGCGACGCATGGCCGGAGGAAGTCGATCAAGGCGGTCACTCTGACGAACGTCGTCGAGCCGGCGTTTGTTCAGGAGCTTTTCGACGACTATGTCAAGGTCACGGGTGAGAATCCCGACTTGGCGCATACGTTTATGGGGATGGAGTTTTACGACCTGGGCAAGATTAATAGCATCCCCATCGAGTCCATGGCCTTTGCCAATCGGGGTGACTATAGGGCAGGAGTCGTTGGCTTGGAGTGGACGAATGACAAGATGGATCAGGAGAATAGGGATTGGGGACGGATGATCCAGGCCAAGTGTCGACAGAAGATTATCGACAGCGAGGAGTATTCGCCCCAGACGACCAAGACTGCGTTGGAGTATGCCAACTATCTTGAACGTAAGTGTTGCCTGTCCTGCTTTTTGCAAGCTTGGAGTTGGATCAGATGGACTGATGAATTGTTTGGTGTAGCTGGCGACTTCATGGGAGACAAGCCGTTTGGTGTGAATCAGCGACGCTTGGCCGTCTTAAAGGCAAAGTATGATCCGGACTGTCTGTTTTACAAGACGAGTCCGATTGCGCCGTTGGTGACTGCGAGGAACTGACTATCCGGTGTGCGGCGCGTTGTGCGCAGTCTGTTGTAGCCGCAACATGGTTCGGTGCATTGAAACACACAAGGCTGTATACAAACACAACGTGCTACGTATTACTATGTCTCTTGGCAACTCGGATATTCGTTCCGAAATGGCGGAGCAAGCAGGGGCTTCCATGATCTTCTTCGTCTTACACTTCCCCAGGTTGCCAGGTTCATCGTGCGAGTTTAGCTTTGAGGACGAAACGGTGGTCAGATAGGGGGGGTCAAAAGCAGGATCTATTACTACATCAACCAATATAAGAATCTCTTTCGGAATGAAGATCTTTCCGGCTTTAGATGGAAGTTCTGTATATGTTGGACCGAGGTGGAGGCAAAAGGGGGAGGTTGTCATCATTTAGCGCCCTCGTGTTGCCTGTTTTGAGGGCCCTCTTTGACTCTCTACGACTCCAGCATTGCTGGCTTATGCTGCGAGACAGCTCATGCCTCCGTCACGATGGGTCTTTCCATTGACTAAGACTACAAGATTGCTTTGAAAGCAGCCTTTTCCTTGGAGTTGCTTCTGAACCATTCAGGCAGGTGTCAACAGTTCAACCTCGACTAAAATTAGACAAATGAATAATGTGTTCCTCCGGCTTGCGAGTTCCGAGATGCAGGGGGGCATTTCGGCCACTCGCTGGATTATCCTAGGCATACCATGCATGACTTCTCGAAGCCATGGAATATATAAGGCTGGCCGAAAACTCCTGAAGGCATTCGGAGTCCTTTCATCTCAAGTCACTTCAGTCTTTGCCTTCAAGAGCTGTCTCTGGAAAAACTGATCAACACAAACATGATTTTCCAATACACCATCCTCGCCGCCCTGGCGACTATTGCCCTAGCAAAGCCAACTCCCACCAGAACCACCAACTCGCTCCAGAACCGGGATCTCTGCAACGACCACGAGAACCAGCTCGCAACATGGTACGACAAGGGCACCGACCCGAACCAGATCACGGCCTGCGGACACAAGTACGACCCTACCGCCATCGTCGTGGCCATTTCCACCGACGTGCCCAACTACAAGCAGTACTGCGGTCGACAGATCCTCATCTCCTCGCGGGAGCAGACGGCTGCGGTGATTGCCGTCATTGACGACGCGAATGCCACGGGCACGCTGGGGGAGTTTGCGCTGGACTTGTCGCCGGCGGTGTTTGATATCCTTTCGCCGACGGATCTTACGGTTGATGCGGATGGGGAGGTTGCTATTGATTGGGTTGTGCTGGGTGGTGATCCGTGCCCTTGAGCAAATGGGGGGAGAAGCAGGGTATGTCCTAGGTTCTAAGACGTATATGTATGAGATAAGACGGATCGTTCGGCATGAAAAGTATATAGTAGACTCGCCCAGCAACAAGATTCAGCCTCAAATCTTCAACACTATTCAAGCGTAAGAACATTTTCCTTGAACCACGGTAGATATGTGTCTCGGCCCCAAGCTGTCAATTCTCGAACGCCAGCAACAATGGCGTAGATATCCATCAAGCTTTCGGTTTTCCCAAACACGAAGCTGGAATATAGTTGAGTTTTTTCTTCAGCATATGTAGAGATCACCAACTTCCAGTAGTTGCCCTGTATAATGATGCCGGGGATGAATGGAAGCTTTGATAATGCCCTGATTGATCGGGCCCTGATTTCGTCTTCCTGGTCTGTCGCTACTGGCGTCTGCCAATCTTTGTCCTGACGCTGTTGAAGGAGCTTCTCACAAACTGCCCATTGAAGGAATCTCCATTGCGCAGAATACCAAATGCCAAGTTGGAGCTGGGTCGTGTCCGCGTCGGCATCTTGCTTCTCAGTCACAATGCTGACTATCAGAGGGCGAAGCTGTAGTGGTTCGAAATCTGTATGGTTGATGGACAAAGTAGGTGCAGCACGGCTGAACTTGGTGACAGCATCTACTTCATGACTCCGGTCAAGCGAGGCATAGACGCAGAGATCGATCAGCTTCGAGATAGGCGCCACAGGCCTGAAGTCAGCATGTGGCCGGGCCGTGCTACTATAAGCAGCAAGGGTTAGCTTGGTGCTTCAATTAGGAGAATCAAGCTTACCACAGCATGGCACTGAATTCGCCGTATTGTCTATCTGCAGGAGATCTGAAAATTCCATGAAGCAGGCGTAGATGGACTTCGGCATTCCAGCTAGCTTCTTCGTGATTATAGCGTTCACACTCGGTAGCCATTGATAAGATGGTTTGGGTCTCTTCGAGAGATGGGACTCGACCAGGTAACTCGTCAGCAGGAATCTTTTCAGACTTGAAGCAATTCTGCCATTGATGACATTGGACTTCGCCCCTATTGAGCTTTTAGGTGATTCGCTGCCTTAGGGCATGTGGGAGAATTTGGTGACATCGTCCGTATTCCATCATTGTAAGAAAAAGCATCTTAGCGACATGAGGCACGGTAGTCTCATTTAGAGGGTGATAGTCGACACCCTTCTCTTGTAGACGCAACCGCATCATCTGGCGTTTGACTGATAATGTTCGTGATAAATATTTGGACAAGCCGTTGGTATCAGTGACCACGGCTGAAGCTGGAGAGGTTGGAATGCTGCCAGATCGAAGTCTAGGGGTTGCAGGGTCATGAACTTCACCTTTGCTGCCGAAATGGGAATATGGAATATTCCCATTTTTGCCTTGGGTGGCCATGGAGTCAAGCTGAGGACTGGCGAGATAGTGGTTTGTCGTTGATTTACGCTTTCGAGCCGTGTTGGGAGACGATTTCTCGGGCAAGCTGAAGGTCGTTGGATCAGATATCAGCTCGTGAAGATTGGGAGACGGCCCCTCGAGAGCGTTGACCCAAGAGATGATTGAGTCATTATTCATTGTCTGAGAAAATAGAGACACATTTATTTATTGAGAAGTATGGCAGGCAGTTCGCAGGCAAGCCTGCTCCTACGTTAATAAGTAAGGCACTACTCGGCGGGTTAACTAATGGCCCAGCCACAAGGCCCCTGCCTCTCCCTACTAGAGAGGCGGGGACCTAACCTATATCTTTTATTAATGCATATCCTTTTATTATAGCATAACTGCTGCATTATAACGCTTAAGTAAAAGGAAAATAAAAAAAGAATTAATAGCTATATAAAACTATATTTAAGGTTTTTTTTAATATAAAAATTAATATATTAAGTATTATTATAATAGTATAATTTATATTTAAAAATACTAAAAAGAATATACTTATATTTATAATATACTAATTTAGTATTTTATAATAATAATAAAAGGCTTATTTTTTAATAATAAGTTATATACCTTTAATACTTTTAACTCCTTTAAATTTTAATTAATTTCTTAATTTATTTTTTTATTAAGCTTAAGGCTAAGACCTTTTATATAAAAGAACCTAGGAATATTAAAATAATAACTAAATAAGGTCTTTATATAGCTAAAAGTTATAATAATTTTAATATTACTATTATTATTATTATTATTATTTTTAATATTACTACTAGTAGTACTATTAAATAATAATATTATAATATAGCTAGCCTTAAGGCTTTAATTAATTTTATTATTTTTTAAGTTAGCTTTTTTATTAATCTTAGGCTTTTTTTTAACCTTTTTAAGCTAGGTTATAAGTTTAAGGATTTTTAAAAAATTAAGCTATAGTATTATTTTTTTAAAAAAAGAAATAATAATTATTATTAGCTTTATTTTATTTTTATATAAGTTACTATAATATCTCTCTCTTTTTTAAAGTTTTTTAACTTTAAAAATATACTTAAAATGCCTCTTCTTAATATTTTTATTTATTAATAGCAGCCTAGCTATAAAGGCAAGGCTTTAATAAGGCTTTAGCTATATTTAAGGCATATTATTATTATAACTAGTGTTAATACTTATAAGCCTATACTTAAGCTTTTTTTTTTACTTTTTATTATTATTAAGTAGCTATTTTATTATAAAGCTAGGTAATAGTATAAGCGCTATTAATAATACCTTAAATTTAGTAATAAGTTTTTATTTAGTATGCCTTATATTAAATTTAATAATCTTAAAGTTATTATATTTTCTTATTTTAATAATTTAAAACTATTATATAGTTTATATAAGTAATAGTATTTTAAATAATATTTTAAGTTAAGCTACTTAAGATCTTAAGCTTTTTTTATATATCTTATACTAACTTCTTAACTAATTATAATAAAATTATATTTTAAGTAAGGAGACTAAGTAAAAGCAGCTTTAGCTATTACTTTTAGCTATAGTAAAGTAATAATAGTACTAAATTAAAATTAAAAGGCTAAAGGCTAGCTTTTTTAAATTTAATATAAATATAATAAGCTTTAAAAGCAGCCTTATATATCTTATCTTATTAATAAAGGAAGTTATATTTTATAATACTTATACTATTAAAGATTATAAACTTTTATAAGGACTTTTACTACTATTACTTAAAATACTAATAAATACTAATATTAAGAGGTTAAAGAAAATAGCTTATATATAAAAAAAGCTTAAAAAGCATAATATTAAAGAGATTATAATATTATATAAACTTAAGGTTTTTATAAGTAGTAAATCTATTTATTAATAAAAGCTAGTAAATAGTTTTTATTTTTTTTTTAATATAATTTTATTAATAATATTTAATCTTACTTTAAGTTAATTAAGTTATTTTTAATAAGTAGCTAAACTAACTTTTAATTATATAGCCTTTAAAGCTTAAGCTAAAAGTAAAGGAGTTATAATTAAAATACTATAGCTATTATAAAGCTTATTAAGTATTATTAAATCTAGTTACTATTTATATAATAATTATATCTTTATTAATTAAGGCTATTATATAGTCTTTAAAAATAACCTTTATAAAAAGAATAAAAAAAAAAAAGATAGCCTTATTAATAATACTAATAGTATTAATAAAAGTTAAGGACTTTTTATTTTTTAATTAAAAAATAACTAAATATATATTACCTTTTTTTTATATTAATATAAGTCTATTATAACTTAACACTTATAGTTATAACAGTAGGCCACCCCTAGTAAATAAAACTAAATAAATATTAAACTATCTAGCTAATTAAAAATAAATTATTAAATTATTAGGATAATTTATTAATTTAAATAAAATTATTTAAATTTATAAATAATTTATTTTAAAATTATTTAAGCCTTAAGATAATTTTATTAAAATAACTAAATATATAAATTATATTTATATTATTTATTTAAATAGTTTAATTAGCTAGTTATTATTATTTTATAGTATTTATAATATAAATAGATTAAAACCTAAATATTTACTATAAAAGTATATTAACTAGCTGCATAATTAAATATGCTTTAAGCATTAACCTAACTTTTTACTAATATAAACCTAAATAGCTTCTTTATTAAAGCTATTTACTTAAATAGTTTATTCTTTAGGAAATAGTATTCTTATTAATTATAAAAACCTAGTTTATTATATAATAATAACTTTTATTTAAGAAGTTACCTTAAACTTTTAAAGTAATATTAATTAAGGAAGTATTACTTTAAAATAAAAATAAGTAATTATAATAAGTTAATATAATAACTTTAAAAAATATAAAACTTAATAATACTACTTAAAATATAATAAAAA